ACTGTTTTTTTTTTGCATATAGAAAAAACGTTTTGTTTACATTAAACTGATAGACCTGTAACATCATACATAGCATAAGTTGTCTCATTTTTATCGTCTCATGCATACATTTTCTTGCTTTCGTCCTGTTGTATAGATCTTCCCTAGATGCTTTATTGATGTGAGCATAACCGATCAACCAATGAATATCCTGCTACATCTTTGATCATAAGTCTAAATGCAACTGACATTGACTTTTTATTTATCTTCTCAGTGCATCTATTTCTAATTAATTTATTTGCTACAAACAGTTAGTTCAGGATACATTACAATATCTAAATTACATGGTTTCAATGGCAAATTCGCTCTGCTATGACGTTGAGTGGATACATTTTGAGAGATCTCTTTCTGAAAAGTAGCTTAAATTATTTAGTATCACCACAATCTATTCTTCATTTTGATAACGAAATACACTTGCCTGTAAAAGGAACAAGAAGAAATTGTGTTTTCTATAGCACAAAAGTACGAATCAGATCACATATCGAATATTTTATTTTCAAATTAGCATTTTCTTTAAAAGATGAGAAAAAGACCTTATCAGATTTCATGATCCATCTCGAACCAATATGCCATAAATATGTAGTGCACGATAAAATTTTCGCCTGTATTGAAATGAATTTTTTATATTATTTTCACGTTTGAGAATAGAGTGCAACATATCTATATACAGAGGACTTCAAAACATTTACGCAGCGCATACTGGCTTTAGAGCTGTTTGCTTCTTCTTTGAGCCATGAAAACATATGTGAATACATCCATTTTAGGATGACTTGTTGAGAGATGAGATGGGTCGTATGAAATGAGACTGTCATGTCAAGCTGACGGATTTCTAGAAAACGAATTACAATTCTAAATTTTCAGTTCACTTTTCTCTATATTGCCCATAGACGGAGCACAGTCAAATCTCTTCTCTCTGAGTGGTTAAAAATTATAAACTCCTACTCAGTTCACATGATTCATCGCATCTCTCAGCAAGTCACCCAAAAATGCATGTATTCACATAGGTTTGCTTTGCTCAAAGAAGAAGTAAACAGGTATAAAACCAATGTGTGCTGCGTAAATATCTCCATATTTCTGCATATAAATGTTTTCCATTCTATTCTCATCCGTGAAAATAATATAAAATTCATTTCGAAACGGACAAAGCTTTTGTTGCGCACTAAATGGCTTTGATCCCTCTGCAAATTTTTGATCGAAAAACGGAGGACTTATCTATATTTTTACCATGAGATGTAACGGTGATTACCTCCGAGGAAATAGTAACTTCGTTTTTAAAACAACCATCATGAGCGTGGTCAACTTCGGCGGGAAAACTGCTACGAAATGTTGTAAGTTTCATGTGATGATGCTACTCTTCGACACCAAGGCAAGTAGAGATCTTGAAAAAGCACGAATATTATGAATAAATGGAACAGACTACTCAACTTTTTGGTCGATGCCGGTTTTGACTAAATTTTCGAATAAAATAGTAGTTTTCACTGATATTTTTTTGATACGTTTTTATGAAAACTTCTTCTAACACGCCAGAGTCAGTAAGAGAATACCAGCGAAATCTGTTATTTTCGTTGAAAATCTCGTCAAAATCGATATTAACAAAAGCCTGATTAGTTTGTTCACTTTGTTCATGAAAATCGTGCTTTTTTGAGTTGCCTATCTGCCTAGAAATTCTTACTAAAGAAAGCAGAAATTCTGTTTTGACTGTGCAAAAGTTTTCGCTCCATGAAAAAGTGTTTACAGTTGTCTATTCATTGGTAGAGTTTTTCAAACACCAATATCTTTGCATGAAATTCAGTGGACTAGAACAAGGTTCTTTTTTGTATTGTAGGGTTCTCAAAAAAACAGAAGTTGCTCTGATGCGAACGAATTTATTGACTTTCTTTATCTTCCGCCTCCGATATGCGTTGCCTTTGGGTATCTCTGATCGCATAATAAATTTTTCATCGACTGGAAAAATTTCTGAGGAGACATTGCCCTATCTGTAATTTTTTCCTAGTTACGCTAGTACTAAAAATACCTGCTCAGTTTTAGACTTTTCTGCTCTAATTTTAGTATTTCCACCATTTGAGCACGTTTCACTTTTTTCTTCTTTTCTAAGAAAACATTTTGTGTTGCTGTTGTCTTTTCTAGTGCTTTACACTAAAACTTTCTGAAATTCAATTTCAAAGTAATTGTTTTATGCGATTCTAATCGAAAAGTTAATTGCGCACGTCACTAAGTAAAATCTAGACTCTATGATTGTGTTACCAAGCCGCCTGAAGACAATAACTGCAAAGGGGACCTTTACTAGCATCCTATAAAACGTAAGCTTTTTATCTATGAAAATTTCTTTTTATTCGGATTTTAATCTGAAATTTTGAATCAGCATCGGATTCCGTATTTGATGATGCTAAAATTAATAAATTTCGAGAAAAAAAATTGAAGTGATATCCGAATCTCCTACAAATGATAAATGATCTGTGAAAAATGAAAGTCGTTTTTGCCAGAAAAAAATACGCTATTTTACTCAGAAATTAATGCTGATTGCGAATATGTAATTCTTATTGAAAGATATTATGAGCAAAGAAAACGTAGCCTTAACACCACTTGTCCTTTCGATCCTTTCTTTCTATGGAAGTCTACATGCATCTCAGCTTTCACCATCACCTGTCCTGCAAATCTGAAGCGTATATATTTTCTGAAAACATCTACCCTCTTGTAACGATAATAATTTTCTAAGATTTTTTTTTTCACTTATCTCCGTTGCTTCTTAACGATAACTCGATAGGTTAGTAAAATTGACTTCATATGACAAACCTCCAGATGCGATGCAACGTAGCGATGCGAGACGACTGCTTTGGTCAAGTTGAGGTAATGATCGTAACATGTCTGTAAGCATGATGAGTGTCGTAGGTACTGTGCCTATAAATGTCACTTGGTATCGGTTGATTGTTGCCGAGAGATAGTCCATATCTAGATGGCATGGGTCTGGTTTGAGTATAGCAAGTTGAGCACTACTTATCAAAGTGCCAGCTATCTCTTCAAGATGAGGATCGAACGAAACAGATGTGTGTTGGAGTACAATACTCATTGAATTGATAACGTACGAACGAATATACGACACAAAATTTCGATGACGTAGTTGTATCTATATCAAAAATTGAAAAAAAAGATAATACGTGAAAATAATCTCATCTTTACGGATTTTTTCCCCATCTAATCAATGAAACTGTTCGATAGAATCATTCCTATTGAAAAGAAAAGCAAAGGCGATGACAAGGAATTTACTCCAGAACGGGACATATATATGATTGTAGAGGCAGACGTGCTCCATTCAGTAGTATGCTGATTATGAAATTCTATTGTGCACCGCCCAAGAAAAATAGGCGAAAAGGTATAAGTTTCATAGATTTTAGAGCTTTCCGTTACCAGAATCAAATAAGTAGTATAAGATCAAGCTAAAACATACTCCAATTATGTGAGTATCATTTCACGGTTCACGTTCTTTACTTTCACAGTTTGTATTACTCTTCTTGATACTCAAGCTATGTGATATCTTATAATAATTTAAAAAATACATCCTATATGTTTTTCATAATGTTAGAAGAAACAGTATTTATATCTTAACAATTGATATTTTGAAATATATTTCAATTATTCAAAATTAAGAAACTTTCCCTTTCTAAAAAATGATATGTAGAATAATTTTGTGCGAATTTATATTAAGTTTATCGATAGTTTATTGAGACATGATTATTCTAAAATGCACTTATCACTTTCCAAGACGTTGTAGAATTATTATTCTTTATCTTATATGTTGTTTCGAAGATTATATAATATGTTTCTAATATCGTCGAAAAGTTCATAAAGTTCAAAAATGCTCAGAAAAAAATGTTCTTTTGCTCTTTTATATATGTACATATATGTTCGAGAATGTTCACGAAAAATGTTTTTTTGCTCTTTTGTAGATATAGATATATACAAAATTGTGCTTAAGCTTAATATTATTTTGTTCTTGCATCATTTTATTTTTATTGAAGTATTAAATAATGATAAAATATTTTATGTGCACACTTCCTACTGGAAGCTGTATTGGGTGCAATACAAGTTTATATAGAGGAGATGTTGGTCAACAGCGATCGAGAAAAAGAAGCAAAAAATGTGTTATAATACGAAAAGATGTATCTCGTCATATTTTTAATAATTATCATATAATTTTACAACATCATCATCGTTTATGTGGAGATTGTAGTTCATCTGATATTTCTACATGGATTAAGAATGTAAAAGACTCATCTATTGGAATAAATAGATCCATATCCAATTTATTATCAAAACAACTGAAACCCCCCAAAAAAAGACACCATTATCTATTAGGTTTGACGATGTGGAGGAAAAGCAATGTAAACTGTTTACTCGATTATCGAAAGCTGAAATATCAGAAATAGCATCTACAATAAGCACGTCAAATCAAAATGTTTTTATATTTTTTACAATAATGTTTCGAGGAATTAGTAAAGCATTCGCAAGTGTCCTGTTTAACATTACTCAACAAAGAGTGTCACAAATATTTCATGAAACGATTGAGAAAATGTTACATGCATTTGTATCGAAGCATATCGGTTCACAAGTTTTTACAAGAAAGAACATTATTCACAGTCATTCTCCAGAATGGATAAAATTATTATTACCAAAAGCTGTTGCTATGATTGATTCTACGTATATTTATATTCAGAAATCCTGGAATTTCAACAATCAAAAGAAAAGCTATTGTCAACATAAGGCAAACAATTTGATAAAAATAAAGGCGATTATATTATTAGATGGTAAATGGTTTGATATTTATGGTCCATATTATTCAAATGGATACAACAATAACGAGTTAATTTGGAATACACTTAGTGATGATAGTTTGCAGCAATTTGAAAGTAAAGATTTATCTGATCAAAAGAAAACACCTTCACACGACATTCTTAAGAAATGACATGTTTATTGGTGATAGAGGTTTCACTCGGTGTAAAGGTAAATGGAATTTATATACACTTGATTCTATATGTAAAGGTGAAACACAACTACCAGCAACAAAAGCCAACCAAATCAGATGCATAATTCGAATTCCTAATGCTATTGAAAGAGGTTTTGGCAGATTAAAGCAATGGAAGTTTATTGACTCCGTGGCTAATACGGAATATATACCAATTATATATACAATTATGAAGATATTATGTGCTGTTGATAATGCTTTTTTTTGCAATCTTGTGGAAGATAGTGATGAAGCCTATGCAAATGCTAAAGTTATTATAAGTAACTTAGAGTTAGAAAATAAAGTCATGTTATTAGAAGCAGATACAATAGGTTGGAGAAAATCTAATACAAGCGATATTAGCACTATCATTCCATTATATGATTATAATGATATCAAGAAATTCAGCAGTGAATATTCAATACGAGTAGCACATGCATATTTAGGACACATTCAACAACAATGGACAATGTACATCCACTATGACTATTCATCAACAATCAAAATAAAAAATATTGTCTCAAGGTACAAGACAACTGACAACCCAAAGAAACATACTGTATGGATACGTTTTGGACAAAATAAACTTGATGATACCGCTTCATCTTGTACTTCCAAGAGTGGTTTGCGTACTGCAGGTGGCAGTTGCTCTCATGTAACTGCAACTTTAATTGCTTTACAATATTGGAAAAATAATGAAAAAATACTACCATTTTATACAAAAGCAAGGCATTATTCATCAATGCTTTAGATTGTGCTACATATAAAGAGAGAAATAAAATCAAACATCCATCACCAGAAGATGATAAAGCAATCAATCAAACCAAAAACTTAACATCATTAGATGAAGAATTAATTGATGACGAATCAGAAAATGATGATGAATCAATAACCGGCAATGAATTAAATAGTGATACAACAACAGATGATGAATCTACAGCTGATACAACAACAGATAATGAATCTCCAGGTGCGACAACAACAGTTGATGAATTTACAAGTGATACAACAATAGATGATGAAACAACTGATGATAAATTAATAGATGGTTGTCAATAATACATATGTTGGTAAAAAACAATTTGATCTTAAAAAAGATCAAAAATTTTTTCATATTAGCATTTGTTCAGTGTGTTTGTTGAGCTTTGAAATTATCCTTTGGCATTATGGCGCTTACTATAAACATTTTGAGTTTGTCCTTGAATTCGTAATAAAAATTAGAAAAGTAGCAGTAAAAAGCTTTAAATCATAGCGATCTTATGAATCATGCACATTTTAAAATAATCGTGTCGCAATAAAATATTAATAAACTTAATATGAATTCTCACAGAATTATTGTACGTATCATTTTTTAGAAAGGAAAAGTTTCTTAATTTTGAATAATTGAAATATATTTCAATATACCAATTGTTAAGATATAAATACTGTTTCTTCTAACATTGTGAAAAACATATAGGATGTATTTTTTAAATTATTATAAGATACCACATAGCTTGGGTATCAAGAAGAGTGATACAAACTGTGAAAGTAAAGAACGTGAACCGTGAAATGATACTCACATAATTGGAGTACGTTTTACCTTGATCTTATACTATTTGTTTGATTCTGGTAACGAAAAGCTCTAAAATCTATGAAGCTTATATCTTTTCGCCTATTTTTCTTGGACGGTGCACAATAGAATTTCATAATAAGCATACTACCGGATAGAGCACGTCTTCCTCTACAATCCTATACATGTCCCGTTCTTGGGTCAATTCCTTGTCGTCGCCATTACACACCCTTTTTTTTTCTTTTCTTTTCTTTCCCGAGAAAAGACATTTTTACTGTATGTTATTGTATAATACTAGAAACGGGGAGGTGTTTTTTTCATAACATGCTTGTTTCTCATCCAAAATAAGTGAAAATTTTTTTGCATAGGTAGAAAGTGATGGAGAATCCAACAAACATAGTTTCAAGGTTTGTATGAGGTCTTTAGAGGGTCTCTGGAAAAGTTTTTTCTGAAAACTATAGTAGAAGCGAAATTTCTGATCCTATGTGTGTTTTTTCAAGATAATTTCATTTACATTCGAGCTAAGTGAGTTTGGTATGCCTAAGGCAAATAAAAGAAGCAACCAATTACACAGTGCAAGAACTCTTCGTTGGTTAAAAACGAAGATATCAGATGGAAGTGATCCATCAAATATTGATAATTCGGATATAAACAACCCGGTCAAACATAGATATTTCAGACGCAAACGACTCGTCAAACATTGAAATCATTTGATCTTAAATTAACTATTTTGCCATTCAGGCCACAAAACTTGAAATGCTGACAATTGAATATAACATTAAAATTATATACTGTCCTAAATATCATTGTGAACTGAACGCAATTGAAGGTCTTTGGTGCAATCAAAAGGCTTTTGTTCGATCACGCACTGATCAAAGCTTTGAAAAAATGTTAAAACTAATATCAGATTCGCGCAAACATTTTGTCGAACAAAAAGTTGCTTTAAAATTATTTGGGCGGTTTTGGCGCTCGATCGAAGCATATTCTCAAGGCCAAACATATGCAGACGTATTAAAACTGTTTTTAGTCAACTCTGCAAACAATCAGTCCTATCCCATCGCAGAATATCAAATAAAAACGTGAACTAACATTGATAAACAAATTTCTAAAATATCTTGATACTTTTATCCTGCATGCTCTTATTGAAATCATATAGCCAAGCATGAATCAAATGACTAGTGCGCTCATTAAATATCATTAATATCAATTAATATTTAAAAAATACATTTTTTCAGAAAAAAGTTTTCCAGAAACCCTCTAAAGACCTCATACAAACCTTGAAACTTTTTGAGGTTTTGGAAGGTCATAATAAATTTTGTTTAATAATTTTGTCTCTTCCTTATTGTAAATTAATATTAAATTAGATGAATTTTATTTATTTAATAAGAAAACGTTTCGGAGAGCCACTGCCTCCTTCTTCAGTTCAGTATGTATTAAAATCAGATAAAATAAACGAAAATGTTTTTTCCTCCTTTTTCTATTTACAAATCTGCCTATATATTTNCGTAATGCGTCGTATATATATTGCTTCCGTTCCCTCTGCAGTCTACTCATCCACCCTTTTCTTTTCAAAAAGATAAGTATATATAAACAACAGGGTCGAGCATACGAAACCTATATATTTTCATAGAAATTATCTTCTTTAGAATATTTCTCGATATCATATTCGAGAACATACCTCTCTTGGTCGATGATCAAGAGAGAACTATTGTGAAGGAGCCTGATGGAGATCGCACCAGCTCGAGACCGGACAGATCTCAAGATCTGATCTACTCGAGTTTTCAGAATACCAACAATTAAATGGAATTAAATTTAAAAAAATATCCTATAATTTTCTTTTTGAGAAAAAACAAATTCGAATGCACCATATAATAGATTCGAACCATGTTTTTAGAATGTGCCAGATGTGTCTTAGTAAAATGTACTGTGCCGTCGCTGGTCAAAATCTGTCACAACAAGCACGTTGTGTCCTACTCGAATGTGTCATGGATTGTGTCGCAAATCACGACACATGCGACACATTTTAACTTAGAGTGTATTCTTTAATATGTTACCACTAGTATTGTTTTTCTTCCGATTTAAACACCTGCCATACGTAGTATGACGGTGAAAAGAGTTTGTGGTATACTAATATTCATTGCTGTAGAGATTACGATCAAAAATGTTCTTTTTTCTCTTATTCAAGCGAATTTCGTCAGATTGAGTGATCGAGCAATTAGGTTTTAGAATAATTTTTCTAGGTATTTTTGACTAGATAATACTTTAGTTATAGTACGAGAAATTTGGAAACGCAAAATCTTCTTTTGCATCACTCATCAACGGCTGAATGAGTTTGGATCGTTAATTGGCGAAATCCATCAATTTCATACAAATACACGTACAATCAAGAGTAAAGAACCAGCTCGATAGAGAAGAACTAATATTGTTACAAGAACATGAACGATGAATATCTGTAATGATGGCAGAAAATTTTCTTTCACACAAATGTAATCACACATAATTCCGGAAGCGTATAGTTTGACTAACAACCTAGAGGGTGTGGGTGTGGGTGTCTGGGGTGTCTGGGATGTGTGGATGTGGTGGTGTCGGTGGATGGTATGGGTGTGGGTGTGGCTGCGAGTCTTCTTCGTATCAACATCGGCACCCACACCCACCCACACTCCACACCCAGACCCACACCCATACCCACACCCACACCCACACCCCATATCGTACAGTTTTTATTTGCATTTCTCATGTAAAAAAAACAGTCAATTGGTAAACAAATTCGTATTATAAAAAGCAAGTGTGTATGTTGCAATTTTATCTTTACACAAAAAATTCTGTGTTCATCCATGTTGGCTGAAGTTGCTTTATTTTTTAGCCATTGTGATATTATATGAAATGGACATGCAAAATTTCTCTAGAAAATCATTCATATGTCGTCGTGTACGATATGAAAATATTTAGCGGATACATCCGCAAATTTTCATGTTTCTAAACATGAGTTCTAGTACGCTCTTAAAAAGATTCACACACATCTCATATCATATTGATTTACAACGGGTGAGTGTAGGTGTGGGTAAAGTTAGGATTCAGCCCCACACACACCCATATCTCACATTCAATCAATTGGGACTTGGTCATTTCTCTCTTTTTCTTTGCTTGATGGCCAATCGGTTGCCAATGACCGATTGAGCGTGTGGGGTGGGTGTGGAGATGAACAAATCTGCGAGGGACAAGCATATCCAGAACAAGATCCACCCTCACGCATACACCCTCTTTCATTTAATAATAAATTCTAAACATCTATGCTGAGTCTCTTAAACAAGAACGAAACTCCATGTGATGCTTTGAATTTTTTATCTTATATTCTATGATCGAAAACGAAACATGATACTATGCAAACATGATGCTGTAGTTTATTGATTTCTTCGTAATATAGGTTTATCTCTACTTATCTCAAATATTAATTTTGTTCTTTGAATGATTTTTTCCTCATACTTCCATTTAATCTAAGACGACTACGTAAACAAATTTCAATTATGGACTTAGGAACAGCAATGATGCACTATTATATCTTTCTGTTTCTCCTTCCCCTTGCAGTTCGCTGTCAAAATACATCAAGTTGGGGAAAACAGCGTCTAAATGATACGGTTATTCTACGATATCGAAATACGTTCATATTATTGCACAAGGATATTGTGAGCAAATTGATCAACATCAGTTTGTCACACAATGGTCGCTTACCCTTCAATGTCACTCGTGATCTCCACTGTACAATCGAACGAATATTAGTCAGTCTGAAACAGGCGACATCAGCCAACGATGATCTTATCCGTGAGATCAACGTTGATATCGATCAACTAACTTCTTCTATTTCACAATTTGAAAATGAAATACGGCACAATGAAAAAACCGTAAATAAGTTGAATATGACCGTTGAAAATTCTCGAGAACAAGTTGAACTAGCACGAAACAATTTGAACAAGACACAGGAAATGTTTCGTGATTTGATAGGTTATGAGATGCAACAATCAATTGCCGCTTGTACGTACTCTTTAAAAAAGTCGCAAATATCATCGAATCGACTAGTTGCTTGAGAATTTTGTAGGTTCAAATCGTGATCGAAAGAGCACTCTATTCGGGAGTTATCACGAAGGATTTCATCGCAAGCGGTGCCGTTGTCCTGAAGATTGGGGTGGATCCATGTGTCATGTTCATGCCTATAGAAACTCACCAATGTATCTTTCTGTTATGGAAGCGCAGAGTACGGCTCAATCAAACTTGTCGACGTATCAAAAACAACTCGACGAGAACGAAAAGAAGTACAGAGCAGTTCAATCAGAATTGATTAAAAATCGAACACAATTAGCGGAGCTTCATCTTGTATTGGAACAACAGCGACAGGCAGAAAACATTGCAACAGAACTTAAGAAAGATTTCAAATCACTTGAAGCTAATCTCAGTGGGTTTTCTATTTCAAAGCAGAAATTCTATACTCAACTCATTAATTCTCAAGTCATCATTG